ATTCAGCGATCAAAGGAAGCTTGCTTAGCACGATTGTTGTTGTCTTGTCCTTATGCACACAAAGGACAAACCCATACCCTTACAAAAGTTAGTACGGTACGGAGCCGATTAGTCGACTCTTTGTCCACCAACTTTAGGTAAGGATGTTTGCTCAGAAATAGTGCTTTTGTACTATTCACTGTAGTAATGGACAAACCTTCCTCTTAAGGTTTGACACGCACTCTAAACCTACCATATTACATTAAATGATCATTTAATGCACTGAGTATAAATAAAAGTGTTTCTTCTCCATGCAGAGAGCGCGCATCTCTCTCTAACCTTCTTCTTACTTCAAGCATCTTCTAGCTTAAGTAAATGATCTTTCTTTTAACAACTTCTTTTCTTGTAATTGCTAAAGCTTTGTGTGTAACCAAAGATTGTTTAGATAGGTTTTTATTACCTTATCTTTCCGCAAACAATCTTATAAAATCTGTATTGATCTTCTCTATCAATATATATTTTAAATTTGAGAATACTGTGTTTGTATTTATCCCCCCCTTCTACAAACTATTTCTCTTATTGTAGACCCTTACGGGACCAACACTTTGTGTTCCTAATCTTCGTAAACACCTCATTTCTGTGGCTAAGCTTTGTCGTGCTTATCAAGTCTCTGTTGAATTTTTCCCCTTGCATTTTCATGTCAAGGATCTTTGCACGGGGGCGCCTCTCATGTGGGGGGAGAACATAAATGATGTGTATTATGCCAATCATATTGCACTCCCATAAATAAACACTTCTACTAAAGCATCACCTTTCGATTACCATCACACACTTGGACATCCATCTACTGGCGTTTTCAAGCATCTTGTTAAAGACTTAGGTCTTAGCTTCAAATCATTGTCTAAACTCAATTTTCATTGTGCTTCATGTTTTGTTAATAAAAGCCACAAGCTACCCCTTGGCCAAAATTCATTTATTGCAAATAAGCCTTTGCAACTTATTTACTCCGATGTTTGGGGACCTGTTAAAAAATCTATTGATGGTTTTGTCTATTATGTAGTGTTTGTGGATTACTATTCAAAATATATTTGGTTGTATCCCATAAAATATAAATCCGAAGTCTCCAAATTTTTTCCCCCATTTAAATGTTTGGTGGAAAAATACTTAAACACATCCATTATCTCCATGTTCACTGACAATGGTGGAGAGTATCAAGCTCTCATTCCCCTGTTCGAATCCATGGACATTTCTCATTACACTACACCCCCACACACACCCGAGCAGAATGGCATAGCCAAACGGTGCCATCGACATATTGTTGAAACAAGTTTTGCCTTGTTACACTTTGTGGGTCTTCCTCTCACCTTTTGGTCTCATGCATTTCAAACAACAGCTCACCTTATTAATCGTTTGCCAACCCCAATCTTAAACTCGAAAAGTCCATTTGATCTAATGTATGGTCACTCCCCCAATGGTCGGTCAAATCCTTTACCCTTAGACTTAATGAAATTGGGCCACAAAGCAAGTATACAATACGGTCCAACGTCGTCTTTCCAAGTAATAAAGT